TGGTGGTGGTGAGGAGGCGGGAGTCACAGTGGTGGTGGTGGTGATGGTGGTGGTGGTGAGGAGGTGGGAGTCACAGTGGTGGTGATGGTGGTGGTGGTGAGGAGGTGGGAGTCACAGTGGTGGTAATGGTGATGGTGATGGTGAGGAGGTGGGAGTCACAGTGGTGGTGATGGTGGTGGTGGTGAGGAAGTGGGGGTCACAGTGGTGGTGATGGTGATGGTGGTGGTGGTGGTGAGGAGGTGGGAGTCACAGTGGTGGTGATGATGGTGGTGGTGGTGAGGAGGTGGGAGTCACAGTGGTGGTGATGGTGGTGGTGGTGGTGAGGAGGTGGGAGTCACAGTGGTGGTGATGGTGGTGGTGGTGGTGAGGAGGTGGGAGTCACAGTGGTGATGGTGGTGGTGGTGGTGGTGAGGAGGTGGGAGTCACAGTGGTGGTGATGGTGGTGGTGGTGGTGAGGAGGTGGGAGTCACAGTGGTGGTGATGGTGGTGGTGGTGGTGGGGAGGTGGGAGTCACAGTGGTGGTGATGGTGGTGGTGATGGTACTGAGGAGGTGGGAGTAACAATAGTGGCAGTGACAGTGATTGAGACATGATAATGATTTGTGACAATAATGTAATCTCTAACAGTGATATCTTAATCCCTTTTCCAAAAGTATCAGATCATACTATAAGGGCCATGTTTCCAGAATAATAGCAGACATGATGACAGTCAACATCGGAACTTGGCATCTGAAGGTCACAAGGGTAGCTCTAATGTCTCAGCAGGAAAAGCAACATTTGCTATTAGTCTGAGATACTAATTATTTAGTTAAGGAAATACTCACGTATACCTAGTTTTTAATGTTTTTTAAAATCTGGAATTGATTCTGAATTTTAGCAAATATCTCCCTGGGAGCAATGTAAGATTTTTCATATTTTTGGCTTTGGGTATAACCAACATGCTGGCTCTGTTGGCCTCCTTGTGAGCTTGATGAAGCATGGTATTAAAAAAAGATGCTTTGCTAGTTTTTCACTTAATCTCTTTCTATAAGCAATTTTGGAGCTAAGCCTCTGAAACAGGATTATATTATGTGTATAGAATAAATGTTCTATCTTCCCCCTTTTTCTCTCATTTGGAATAGATGTGTGTCAGTATCTCTGCGTCGGTGTCTCTGCATCAGTGTCTCTACGTCAGTGTCTCTGAGTCAGTGTCTCTGCATCAGTGTCTCTGCATCAGTGTCTCTGCGTCACTGTATCTGAGTCAGTGTCTCTGCATCAGTGTCTCTGCATCAGTGTCTCTGCGTCAGCCTATGTCACTGGGCTTAGGGGATATCCAGAAAGTGATTGGGTGTTGACATTTTCAATATATTTACTTTGTGTGAGAAATAATTTGCCAAATGTAGAAAGAGGGGATTTACTCAAGATTTAAATTAAAAATGTTAGTGGTCATTTGTTCTAATGTCTTTCTATTTTTTCCTGGATCATGATAAATCTTCACTGTCTGACTTCAGTCTCCCACTAAAACTGCATTTCCTTTCTACAATTTCAGTTTTTCCCTTTGCTTCAAATAAAGTCCTAATGCTGTTCATTTGACATATAGAATTTTATCAGTATTTTCTTTAGTATATATGATTATCTTCCTGAATCTGAGCCTTTTTAGAAGAGTATATAGTTTGATATAGTCTTGTTATTGCCACCTGTATCTTCTTCCAAAGCCATTAATTACATAGGAATTGCATGATAGAGATGGATTTAATTTTTTTAATATGGTGAAATGTTGATGAGAGTAAGGGAATTTTTTAAAAATTTGTTTCACTGAGTATTTATGATGTGCACAACATTCCTGAATATATTGTCTCTCTCATTTCTCAGATGGGATGAACTGCCTTCTCCATTTCTACTGTTAAAGAAACACTTATGGGGGGTTCTTTAACGGGTTGTGAACAGCAGCATCCGAGCCCAGAGTATAGCCTCAGCAGCTGCTGATTCCAAAAGCCGCACCTTCCAACCAGCAGGCGCAGCCACCCAGGGGAACGGGGAGGGACCCTGGAAGCTATTTCTTTTTTTTTTTTTTTTTTTTTTTTTGAGACAGAGTCTCTCTGTGTCACCCAGGCTGGAGTGCGGCGGTGCGATCTCAGCTCACTGCAACCTCCACCTCCCAGGTTCAAGCAATTCTCCTGCCTCAACCTCCCGAGTAGCTGGGATTCCAGGTGCCTGCCACCACACCTGGCTAATTTTTGTATTTTTAGTAGAGACAGGGTTTTGCCTTGTTGGCCAGGCTGGTTTTGATCTCCTGATAGGTGATCCACATGCCTCGGCCTCCCAAAGTGCTGAGAGTACAGACGTGAGCCACCAAGCCTGACTGGAATATCTATTTTTATTATTTTATTTTATTTTATTTTATTTTATTTTATTTTATTGATATGGAGTCTCGCTCCATTGCGTAGACTGGAGTGCAGTGACATGATCTCAGCTCACCACAACCTCTGCTTCCTAGGTTCAAGCAATTCTTCTTCCTCGGTCTCCCAAGTAACTGGGACTGCAGGCACACAACACCATGCCTGGCTAATTTTTGTATTTTTAGCAGAGACCATATTGTTGTTTCACCATATTGGCCAGGCTAGTCTCAAACACCTGACCTCATGATCCGCCCACCTCAGCCTCCCAAAGTGCTGGGATTACAGATGTGAGCCACCACCCGGAATATCTATTTTTAAATGGAACCGCGTTTTCATAGTACACAGTGAGGGGAAAGTTGCTTTGAAATCTTTATCCTGATAAATCAAATACTATGAAAATTTGCATACATTAATATATGTAACGAAGTTTAATTACCGCTATAATTGCAAATATGTATAAATTCCTTACCCCAAAGAACAGACGGGTCAGTCCTGGAGGGTAGGAGAATTAATGAATCAAGTTGGGAACACAGAAGGATTTTCCAACAGAATGAAATAACATGCTACGGTCTGTTTGACTTCATATCATGTCTGCAGAGTCATGGAGGCCTCATCAGTGTCAGCAGGAGTCCCCTACCTTCCGACACTCGCACCTTCCCTCCTGCAGCCCCATCCTAACTGTCCTTGTCCAGCTTCTCTCCAAGGGCCAACCAGTCTACCTTTCCTTACAAGCTTGTTTATCACAGCATTCTGTTAGCAATCCCTATGGTTGCCCAGAAGCATTTTCAGAGGCTGCATAAGACTCTGGATCTTGTAGAAAATTTGCAGTTTCATTCTGCACGCCCTCTGCGGAGTGTTCCCATTGCATTGCGTTCAGCAGGCAGGGAGAGACTGCAGAGATAAGGTCCGTTCACGAGTGACTGCTTTCTCCCTCGGACTGTTGTGTGTCTGTAGGAGGCAGTGCGGTGGGCAGTAAGGACGCCTCCTGTGTGTTCCACTGCCTGAGAAGCCTCTGTGCTTGGTTTATGCGCTAAGCTCAAAGGCACCGCAGGGGTAAGACTGCACTACATGGCACCATGGAAAACAGGGAGCGCCCAGACCCCCAAATTAAGAAGAGCAGCGTAGAGATCAGAGACCTGGAAAGCAGAGATAGAAACTGTTAGGACCAGATGATTGTGTCAACCCAGGGCTCCCCAGGCCTCTCACATACTGAAATGTACTTGTCCATCTTTCCCCAGGCCAGGAAATAGGAGTCTCAAAGCCACATTATTCTGCCTTTTAAACCATCGTCCTGTAATCAAAGTAATGATGGCAGCATGTCCTACCAGAGCGGGAGCCCAGCTGCTCAGGAGTCATGCTGAGGATGAATCCCATCTCTTCTCCACGTTAGAGTTTCAGCTGGGTCAGGGTGGATGCAGCCATCCCCATGCCTGGCCTTCTGCATCTGTGATCCTCACGGCCTCCTCCTGTCCTGAGTCTCATGCCTTCACCCGTCCATTCCTCCCGTCCTGAGCCTCGTGCCTTCATCCGTCTGTTCCTCCCGCATTTCCTTTCTGCCACCCTTGCATGTGGGCCACCAGATTCTCAAGAGCCTCCTACCCATTTCCTTCCTTCCACTCCCTTTGCCAGTGCCGCTCATCCCATCTAGTAGCCTAACCGTCACCTCCAGGACTGACCTCTTCCTGCTCGCTGCCAGATGGGTGTTCAGAGCGCACATAGACTGTCGGAAACCTGCAGGGACTCCACGTTGCCAGTCTTCTCTGTAATCAGTGTGGCCCCGGTCCATGCCTCTAGCCTTGGCTCCTTCTGCCCCTCTGTCTATTTGAAACTCTAGAGCCGGCTGTGGGACAAGTATCTGTGTCAAAGCCAGATGTGAAAACATTTCAGTAACAAACTGGCTGCTTTGTTCCATGCTAGAACAATGCCTATCACAGAGTAGACACTCAAAATATTTGCTGAGTGAATGAACAAATGAATAAATGCATAATAGATAATTAACCAGTCCAAGATTCAGACACATTGTGATTTTAATTATTTAAGAGTAGTTTAGCATACATTGCCTTATGATTTACTTTAAAAATCTCCAAGAAATATGCCAAAGAAGTAGAATGAGAAAAACGTACATTTCTCTTTCCCTTTCTGCAGATGCGCCGGGCCAGGTCTTGAAGGTTGTGCAATACCTGGGTAAGTGTTCACAGCTCTGTGTCAGATGGACCTCGTCAAGAATGACCACACTGCTGTGGGTGAAGATGATGCTGTCCTGCGTTTCTGACTGTCCTCTGTCCTGGTCAAATTTCTGTGGCTACCCTCAGCCAGGGTTTCTGCAGAGACTGCCCAGCAGTTCCATGTGGCTCTGCGTGCCAGCTTGGTCATCAGTGGAGAGAAGGGAGAACGCGCCATGCCATGGCTCGATCATGGCCTGCCTCCAATGTCCTTGGTTCCACTGGTTTTGTGGGGTCCTTCTCTGCTTCTAGTTCCTCTTCTTTTCTGCCCACTCACCCGATTGGCCCCATCAGAAGCCTGTCTGTGAGTGGCCTTTCTGTTCGATGACACCCTCCAGCATGGGGCAGTCTCTCTTCTTGATTCCTTTACTAGACACATTGCCTAGCAAAGGCAAAAGGGCTTCCTTCAATATCAGCTCCGGCCAGTTTGCCAGAGCAAAACCCTGAGAAAAGCAAAGTTGAAAAATCTTGTTCAAATTCACCAGGACAGAGTGGCGTTACGCCCGACAACATCTGGCCAGGAAGTAGGGAATTACACACTGAGCACCTGTTTGCCATTTTGGACATTTCCAAACATGAGCCAAACTCCCAGGCCCCTCTGCCATCTCTGGTAACACCTACAAAGTCCCTTCCTCACCACTGCCCTTCCTGCATTTCAGCGTGCTCCTCCACCCCGGAGCTGATAGCCGTAGCTCTCCCTCCGGCACTGGTGAACATGATCAAGGACGAAGGCAACTTCTCAGAGACAGGGTCTTCTTCAGTGAGCTGCTAGGACACCCAGCAGAACTTCCCCACTCCACGCTGCGGTCTCAGTGATGTTACTCATGGCCTTTCCGCCACGTCTCCACCTCGAAGCCAGTCACAGCCATTCCTTCTTACATCTGCTCTTTTCTGTCTTTTTCATCTCCTGTTCACCCACCCTTACTCCTATGTTACCCTATGGACATGCGCTCCACAGCAAATGATTCCTTGTGTCTTCCGGGATTCCCTCAAAATAGCAAAACTCATTAATCCAGGCTGTGCCAACTAGGGGTTTGTCGTAACACAGATGATGCCAGCCGTCCCTGAAAGGAAAGGATTGTATCCTGCCATTCTCATGAAGTACATGTGGCCCACTTAAGAGAGATCTGTAAAGACTTCGACGCATTCCTAATGTGCAAATGCCACTGCTAATTCACGTGTTATATTTATTAACGTTTCTGCCTGAAAATAGTAATCCGTTTGCCAGCAGCTCAAATGGGATAGATACTTAAGAACAATAACGTTCTAACGACTCCAGATTCAGAATTACAATCAGATGGCCCTTTCCCCCATGAACTGGCACACGTGGCTTCTGGTTTGCTCTCTCTGGAACTAGACACAACCTCCGTGGGGGGAGGATTAAATGCATCTGCAGGCTGAGGCAGCATGATGACCACACTCATCACAACGATGTGCTCTGCGTCTGAATCCTATCCCTTTATAACCCCCTTCAAGCTTGTTCAGAGAGCATTTCACACAGTTCGTGTGCTCATCTCGAAAGCTAAGGACCCAGAGGAGTCTCCGCATTGTCAAAAAGTCCCTTCACCCAGCCTGGCCCGTGTGTATGGACTATGGCACTTCAGTCACATGGCAATACTCTTGGAATGAACAAAATACCAATTCATGAAAAAGCATTATTGAAGTCTGAGTTACTTTTTTAATTATATTTTGTTAATAAATTGAAAAATACTCATCATATGGATAGGTCCAGATGATGCCTCCGTTTTAAAAAATGAGGAAAAGCGGGCCTGGTAGGGGACTGGGGGGAGCTTGAGAAAGTTAGAAACGTTGCCCTAGAAACTGTTTTTTCTCCCTTTAGAAGCTACACAGTATCTCACTTTCCAAGATCATTTTACAGGATGTCAGTGCGCCGGAACATGTAGGGGCCTATTGCATGCCAATGCCATGAAATCTGCCAGCAACCTTACCCTTCCTTGTTCCTCCACCTCGTTCCAGGCCCAAGATCCCGTCCATCGCCACTGGGATTGTGGCTGCCCTCCTCTTGGTGCTGGTGGTGGCCCTGGGGATCGGCCTCTTCATGCGAAGGCGCCGCATCGTCCGGAAGCGTACACTGCGGAGGCTGCTGCAGGAGCGGGAGGTGAGTGCCAGGCCTGGGTGTGCTCAAGAGCCGTGGCACCCTGACGGGAACGAGGGCCATCCCCGAGAGTGGGCCATTAGCCGTTGTGTATGTTAGATACGTAATTGTGTTATGATGCAGAAAGAATCTCAAATGTGCAGTTATACCCAGTTAGTGACATGTTGGTACATCCATGCAAGGACATGGAAATGTTTCTAGGCTGAGCCCTTCAACACCCACAGAGCTGTGTGGCATCTGCTCAGGACCTGGTGCCTCTGTATATGCGGGAGGGAGGTCAGGATGCCGTGCGGGCTGTGTGGCCGAGGCTAGAGGATCCTACTTTGGAAAACGCCATTGTCCACACAGTGGCTTTGTCCATGACGGACTCTGCCGCAGCCCAGTCCTGTGCTGGAAGCCACCGTCTCTGGAAAGGGAGACCCAGTGGCTCCTCAGCATAAGGGGATGTGACGTGCCACCACAGACACCAAAATGACCTCCATACACATCTTCCCTACTGGAGTTTTTCAATCCAGCTGGTAGGCGTGGAAATGGAACCAGAAATTGTGTTTGTTGAGAGGTTTCTGTTCATTGAAAGAACACCTGCATCAGAGCCCGGGTTTCTACCGACTTCTGTGAAGCTCTGTAGAGAAGGCATGTGTTTCTCCTTTGAGTGAGCTGGCGAGTGTCATGTGGTACTTGTCCAGAGGGGCCTGGAAGTTTGTAGCAAGTTTTACAAGCCTGAGGTTCTTTTATCCAAGCACATGCCGTGGCTGCCGGCGCCCATGCTGGACCACGTCTGGCACTGCTTCCCAGCGTGGTGAGCGCTGAGGGGCCCCTCGTCTCTGTGTTCTTGTCCCCCTCAGCTTGTGGAGCCTCTTACGCCCAGCGGAGAAGCTCCCAACCAAGCCCTCCTGAGGATCTTGAAGGAAACTGAATTCAAAAAGATCAAAGTGCTGGGCTCTGGTGCATTCGGCACGGTGTATAAGGTAAGGTCCCTGGGACAGGCAGGGCTGCAGGGTCCCTCATGGTCTCAGGGAAGCCTGGAGTCCTCAAAAGCTGTATATTTCCATCATTTACTTTACTGTCTGTTTCACTGAGTGTTTGGGAAACTCCAGGGTTTTTTTCCATGTTATTGAGAGGATATCTTTTATAACCACAGTGAGCAGTGGTCCTATGAGACCCATACACAGAGCAAAGGCAATTTTATGAAGGATGCCATTGACCTCGCAGTGGGGCACAGCATGGGGCGGGAGGAAGGCCGCCCCTCTCCAGGGCATCAGAATGCAGCCCAGCCTAAATGGGCTCATCTTCGTTTGCTGCTTCTAAATCCTCTGCGTGAAATCTGATTTCAGTTAGGCCTAGATGCAGCATCTTTAAATTCTGGATGAAATTATCCACACGGATTTTATAACGGGCTATACAAGCTTGAGGTTCTTTTATCTAAATAATCACTGTGATTCATGGAGCCCGTCAGCTGCAGGGCTGCAGGGACGTCACAGTCCCCAGCAATGTCAGGCTTGGGTGCGGCTCCAAAGCCCCAGTGTCCCTCACCTTCAGGGTGCATCGCTGGTAAAATCCACCCCCCTCACTAGGCAGTGTGTGTCACCATCTCACAATTGCCAGTTAACGTCTGCCCTCTCTCTCTATCATAGGGACTCTGGATCCCAGAAGGTGAGAAAGTTAAAATTCCCGTAGCTATCAAGGAGTTAAGAGAAGCAACGTCTCCAAAAGCCAACAAGGAAATCCTTGATGTGAGTTTCTGCTTTGCTGTTGGGGACAGTGGGCTCTAAACCTCAGGGTCCGCCTTTTCACATGTCTGGCAGGTGCTCTGCTGTAAACCCTGCTCATCTCCACATCCTAAACATTCGCTTTCCATATCATTCCCTTTCTAGCTATAGTGGGTATAATTCCCTCCCTTAGAGACACACTGGCCTTCCCATGCTGGCATCCACCCCAAAAGACTAGAAACAGGCAGTCGCTGGCATCTGCCCAGCTCTAGTCTCTTGGCACGCATGGTGAGCGAGTGCTCTTGGTGAGCCTGGAGCATGGGTATTGTGTTCAGTCATTTTCGGATGAAGAAATGGAGACATAAAGAAATGGGCTGACCCTTCCGTGGCTGGGGTAGGGTCTAAGCCTCTTGTTATTTCTGACTCTGAAATTTGCATTCAGTTCACTCCACCAAGTTATCTCAGCTTTAAAATGGCTTATTTTAAAGGTGCCTAAAATATGATGGTGTCCAGTCTATAAGCTGCCCGCCTTTTGTACTTTCTCTCAAAATAATTCACGTTTTTCTCCAGTGTCTGTTGATTGTTACTTTGTGGAATAAGTTCTTGGAAAATTCCACAGGATTGTTCTTACCGTCTTACTTCCAATTCTGTTGAACTTTTTCTTTTTTTTTTTTTTTTGAGACAGAGTTTTGCTCTTGTCGCCCAGGCTGTAGTGCAGTGGGACAATCTCAGCTCACCGCAACCTCTGCCTCTCGGGTTCAGGCGATTCTCCTGCCTCAGCCTCCCGAGTAGCTGGGATTACAGGCAGGTACCACCACGCCTAGCTAATTTTGCCTTTTTAGTAGAGACAGGGCTTCACCATGTTGGTCAGGCTGGTCTCGAACTCCTGACCTCAGGTGATCAGCCCACCTTGGCCTCCCAAGTGCTGGGATGACAGGTGTGAGCCACCACACCCAGTCCTGTTGCACTCTCAACCTTCTCTGGGCCTTCCCCAGCCAGTGGTGGGAAGACACTGGCTGGGGTCTGACGGAACCTCTTCTACACTGGCCCGGGCTGGCTGTGAGTTCACAGACACCCTCGCTCTTGTCCCAACACAGAGCAAGTGAAAGAGGGGGTCAAGGGGCTGAGGCAGTGGACTAGGGAAACAGAATCAAGGAAGAGGAAAAATGTCTGTCCTTATTACCTCAGTTCACTTGCTTTTACAGCCAAGAAGAACAAAAGCCAGAGAGTAATATCCCCCACCTCAGGTCTAACCCACAGAATACATAGCAAGTGAAGAGAACATGGGCCTTTTTAAAAGCGTCTTAAGACATGATTTTTTAATTGGAGGAAATCTGCAGTTTAATTTAACTTTACAGTTTAATTTTCTCTGGGCAGCTTTCCTTCCTTTTATTATAGTAGAGGAAATCCCATGTTGATACACTCCGAAATGAAAGATGATGTATTGATACAGTACAATTGAAAATCTGTAAAATTGATGATATACTTATCAAGAAAAATTAGCTTTCATGTTAACAGTTTACAAATTGAGTCAAGTCCTAGTAATAAAATGTTAAGTCCTTTTAACATAACCGTGAGAAATACAGGAAGATGGGCAATCTGTGGAGCCTTTCACTTAAAATTGCTAGCCCCTCACCTTTGCTGTGTAGGAAAATCTTTGTGCCGAATTTGCTTCCTTAATTCATTGTTTATTCATTCAAGACATTCTAATAAATTACACAAATACATGCTGAAATGTGAATTTCAGTGGTAATTATAATGCAGGGTGAGGAGGGTTTAGAAGTATTTTAAGACAATAGCTGTGCCTTGGGAAGGAAGCCTTGTTCACTGAAAAGTGCCCCCAGGACCTTTAAATTGGAGGAAGTCTGCTTCTGTGGAGGTGGAAACAGGGTAGAAGACAGATAAGGTTACAGCTTAAAAGTTAAGTCCACCCAACTTCTGAAGTGTCCTTGGGCCTGGCTTGGTGGCTCTTGCCTGGAATCCCAGCACTTTGGGAGGCCGAAGCAGAAGGATCCCTTGAGCTTAGGAGTTTGAGACCAGCCTGGGCAACGTACTGAGACCCAGTCTCTACAAAAAATAAAAAATTAGCTGGGTGTGGCACATGCCTGTAGTCCCAGCTACTCAGGATGCTGAGGCAGGAGGGTGGCTTGAGCCCAGGAGGTCTAGGCGCGGTGAGCTAAAATCTCACCACTGCACTCCAGCCTGGGTGACAAAGGGCAAGGCCCTATCTCAAAAAAACAAAAATTAAATATAGGTATTAATACAGATACCTATATATCTGAAAATAGATATCTACATGTACTCTCTATATAGATATGTAGATATATGGAATATTTATATCTTGTTATGTATCATATATATATCATGACATATATCATATATGTTATAGATATGATATTTATATATCTCTCTCGCTCTCTCTAAATATATTAGATAAATAAAAGAAGGGCTCAATTTGGCCTGCTGCTCGTCCTGTCTCCTCGTCTCCTCTTCCCTTCCATCGTTTTATTTCCTTGCCCCATGTTTCTTCACTGTGGCCACGGCCCCCCTCCTCTCCAATGGTGGGTGTCAGCAGGCGACGAGCCTCAAGCCTGTGGCTTGTCCGGCAGCCCGGGCTGCCTGGGCCTCACCAGCAATCAGCAATCCTGGGAGGCAGGGCACCACGCTGGGATGGAGAGTGGGGAAGCTGGAGGAGGTGCTTTCTGGTAAAGGAAGCAAAAGCCAGCAGTGCCCAAGCCAATTTCAACAGGGAGTTTAACAGCCCTTTAATCCTGCGTCAGGACAGCTCTCAGGCCGTGTGTGCTCTCAGAAGGACTCACATGCATGCCTGCACGGCGGCAATGACTCCATACTCGCTTCCCCTGCCGACCCCAGACCCCGCGGCCATCACACATACTGCAGCCCCAGTTCCGTGCGGCCAGCAGTGGCTTAGTGAATGGGTAAAGTTCTGAAAATGCAGGGGATACCTGCCCTTTATTCATAAGGCTAGACATACACCTCTCCTTAAGGAGTTCAAAAGCTTGTGGTGCCCCAACTTATACAGTAGGGTCGTTCAGATGAGGCAGACGAGCCAGAAGGAAGGAACCGAAAGTCATGTCAGCAGTTAGAACAAAATAGCAGGCTTTCAGGGTCACAAAGCCTCAGGGACACTCCTGCAGTGGAACTGGGACCGGAGCCATAGGGGCTCTGCCTGCCTGCGTGCGGACGCTGGGGCTCTGCGGAGATTGTTGTGGAATACCAAGCATGCTTGCTGTAGGTCACGGTGCACCTTTACCACTTCCAAGACAAACAGCCGAAAACAAAGCTCACTTTAGCTTCTGCGCACACTGCGCGGGACACACGACTGAACAGCGTTCCCATTGTGACTGCTGGGTGGGGAGGAAGTGATGGCCCAGTGGGTCTATCAGATGTCAGTAGGATGGGGCCTGGCAGGGCTCCAGGCTCTGTGTGGCCGACACCCACGCCCCGTCTCTGCTCCCCATTCCCAGCCCCAGGTCAGCCCTGCAAGGCCCTGAAGCAGATGGGCCGCTCAAACTGCTCCGGTTTGCAGATTTTTCTTCCCTCTCAAATGAATACAATATGTTTCCAAATCTCAACCAGATCTTGAGAAAATGGGAACAGCCAGAGGATTTCTTTGGTGTTATGGTTGTACAGCTTCCCAGACCAGGGGGAGAGATGTGATTTGTGCTTTCTGGCAATCCCATGGCCTATTCATTTTTCTGTAGGCTTTCCAGTTTAAATTTAGGGTAGGCAATGGAAAGAGAACACAAAACAGATTTCTACGTGTGCTGTGTGTGTGTGTGTGTTTCTCACATCTAAAGCCTGTTAACCAGAGCACCCAACAGGCCCGATAGGCTTCCTTCACGCAGAGGACCCGGGACGCCTTAGACCCACTGGGGCTAGCGGGAGGCCATGGAGGGAGTCAGGCCAGGGGTCAGGAGACCTGGCTGTGGGCCCCGACCTGGCCTTGCTCAGGGTGGCCTCAGGTGGACCGTTCACCTCGCCAGCCTCAGCTTACCCTGTGACTAAAATGACCTCAGACAAAATACGCTTCCTGGCCCTGTCCACTAATGACTTTTTATAAACAAGCACTTTTCCAAGTTGAAGGAATGTTTTCAATATCTACTGAGTCTACAGATATTAAAAACCTCCTCTGTTCTTTAAAATTGTGATATTATGTTTTGCATATAAAAGGAAAATAACACACACTCTCCTTGAAGATAGAGCCTAAACACTCTGCAGAAAAGATTCAAAGCGACCGTTTTTTGTTTGTTTGTCTTTAATGAAAGTGGCCTAGACTTTGGCCTGCTTTGAGTCTTTGACCTTGCATGGCTTCCGTGTAGTTCAACCCTGACAGTTTTGAAGCAGGTGCGTGCCTAGATCTGCACTAGACCCTGCTGGAATGACAAGCGAAGGTCCAGGCCCTCAGAGCACTTGCCAACAGATAAAGGAGCAAGGGTGCCCGGGCGACAAGACATTGCAGAGCGCCAGCCACACCCTACGTGTGTTCTAGGAGCTGGCCATGCCATCCTATCCCCAAAGAGCTTGGTGGGAAGGGCATTTTTTAGATCACACAAATATTTAAGTACAGATGACGATGAAAGCCCCAAAGCAGTGTCTCTTCAGCTTCATCAAGCTTCAGAATCCAGAGGGTTTGTTCATCAGATGGCTGGGCTTGTCTCCTGCATGTCACCCTCTTGGCCTGGGGCGGGGCCCAAGAATGTGTGCCTCCATCGGGTTTCCAGGCAGTGCCGAGGCTGCCTTCTGATAGAAAAACTACAAGATATCAGGAGAGTTTCATTTAGATTGAGGAGTCAAGGAAGGCTCCTCTGAGAAAGGGTCCGCTAAGGAAGGAGGAGATGGAAGGGTTCTGGGGACAGAGGCCCTCGGGTGGGCAAGGGCCAGGGAAGCTTCCCTGGAGGGAGAAGGTGGCAGGAGCACCAGAGGCTGGAGAAAGGTAGGCAGGCAGCCTTGGGGCTTCCCAAGAACATGGCAGTCCGGGGCAGCGTTTAGGGCAAGGAAAGTGTTTGAGCATATTTGTACTTTTGTAAATATTTACAGTTTGCCCTCCATGTCTGCGGTTCCACATCCATGGATTGAATCAAGCACGATTGAAAAACGTTGGGAGAAAAAATTGCATCAGTCCTGAACACATGCAGACTTTTTATTCTTGTCATTATTCCCTAAATAATGCAGCATAACAATTATTGGCATAGCATTTGCATTGTATTAGGCATGATAGGTAATCAGGAGATGATGTAAAGTATACAGGAGGATGCCTGTCAGTGACATGCAAATACTGTGCCATTTTATATCAGGGGCTTGAGCATCCTCGCATTTCCATATCTGCGGGAGGTCCTGGAACCGATTTCCCAGATGCTGAAGGTGGACTGTCTGCACCCCCTCTACCCCACCCCACCTCTGTCTCCTGTCCCTACCCTGCCTCCTGCTGGCCTGTCGCTCCTGACCTGCCCAAGCACCCTTGGGCAGCACCCTGTCTCTGAGCCTTCATCTGGCCCAGTGTGTTCACTTCTGCAGAGAAACTAACTCACCCAAGTTCACAGGCATTGCTGAGATGGGAAGAGCAGCTTCTGGGCTCATTCTGCTGCAGTCCAAGTGTTCTTTTCTATTTCCGAATAAAAGGTCACAACTATTTGTATTTTAAAGGGAAAGAGAATTTATGGGTGGAAACTGGGGATTCCCTCATTCTCGGTCAGACAGAAAAGAGGACCCCATTGTGTGCATGATTGCAAATAAATTTAGCTTCCTCAGCCCAAGAATAGCAGAAGGGTTAAAATCAACTCTGTATTTATGGCTCTGTCAAAGGAAGGCCCCCGCCTTGGCAGCCAGCCGGAATTAGCAGGGCAAAAGACGCCTGACTCAGAGCAGCATGGATTTCCCATGGGGAGCCTGAGGCGCACACAGACCACTTCTCTTTAGAAACGTCCCCGGCAGCCCGGCAGCCTTTAGCATAGGGAGCCTGGGAGCACACACAGAGAGACCACTTTTTAAAAACGGGTCCCCAGCAGCCAGGCAGCCTTTCGTCACTATAGATTGAATGCTGTGTCCATTTCAAAGTCTGAGACTGGTCCATTGAAAGAGCTTGTCCAGCTGCTCTTTGCAGAGGTGCTGTGGGCAGGGTCCCCCGCCCAAAATGTCCACCCATTTCCCAGAGTACAGTCAGGGCTAAGCCTGGCTCATGGGGGAAGGGAGGCCTTCCTCCCTGCTGGCTTGGTGCTGCCCAGAAGCCTTCCCCATCGCCTTTCCACTGCAGCACCCACAGCCACGGTTCCTGATGCGCGGGCCAGCCATTACCCAGGGTGTTCCGGACCCCACACACAGATTCCCACAGGCCCTCGTGATATTTTAAACCACAGCATCCTTAACCTTGAGGCGGAGGTCTTCATGACAAAGACACTAGCAGTTCCCAAACTCAGAGATCCGGTGACTCCAATTCCTCTATCCAACGTGCTGCTGATGGCCACTGTTGCCTGGGCCTGTCTGTCGTGAGGAATCCCCAGATGCACCAGGAGGGGCCACCGCCACCGCATCTGTCACTTCACAGCCCTGCATCAGCATCCATGCACTGTCTTTTGCAGACACAGCTTTTCCACCATGAGTACATATCTTGAAACTCAAAATCGCCTTCATGAGGTTTCACCTGGAAGGGGCCCATGCAGCCTCCCTCTGGCTGCCCCAGCAAGCCGCACTGACGCACCCCTCCCTCCCTCCCTCCAGGAAGCCTACGTGATGGCCAGCGTGGACAACCCCCATGTGTGCCGCCTGCTGGGCATCTGCCTCACCTCCACCGTGCAGCTCATCACGCAGCTCATGCCCTTCGGCTGCCTCCTGGACTACGTCCGGGAGCACAAGGACAACATCGGCTCCCAGTACCTGCTCAACTGGTGTGTGCAGATCGCTAAGGTACGTGGGGAGAAATGGGGAGCCGGGATCCTCACGTGAGGTCCGTACTCCTGGGATAGCCAGAGTTTGCCACGAGGCTGTGTGTGTGCATGCTTTATTGAGTGCTCAGTATGGTCCGATGTCTGCGTTCTTATTTCTCTGGAATTCTTTGTGAATACTATGGTGATTTGTAGTGGACAAGGAGTGTGACTTGCCCCAGTCAGGACTTGGTAACAAGGTAAGCAGGCCAGGCCAAGGCCAGGAGGACCCAGGTGATGGTGGTGGAGTGGAGTGCCTCGAAGGAGGACCGGTGAGCAGGTGCGAGGAACTGACAGAGGGCACATCTGCTGCTGCTGTGTGGCTGGGGCCTTGGCTTAGTGTTCCCCTGTCTACAGGCTCGCTCCAGAGCCGGGGGGGGGGGCTGAGAGAGCCAAGTAGCCCCACATGGGTGCTGGGGACAGGCACAGAGCAACGAGCCAGGTATTTCACAACTCACAAAGACCCAGAAAGACTTCTGCTTTCGCCCCAAACTCTCCCATCTCCATCCCAGTCTTGTATCAGTGATTTGCACTCAACTTGCTAAATCCTACTTTTTTCTGACAGTGGGTGTACATTTCACTCTGTTGAATTTAAACAATTTGCAGGCAGGCCCTGTTTCCAAGAATACCACGTTGCCCCTTATCTCCCTCCAACACCAGGGCAGGGAGTCCAGGGATGTGCCAGGGACCAGGGGGAGGGAACAGATGCCCACCCGGCCTGGGCAGGTCCTCGTTGCTTGCATCCCCTTGGTCAGCGGTGGCAATTGGTCCTGCTGAGTCACTCTTGAGGAGCTCACCCAGCTCCAGGCAGATGTAAATGGTGACCTACCAGATGACAAACAAACACATCTGAAGCGCTCTTGCCAGCAGCTGCCCTTGACACCACCAGGGAGCCTCTGGCTGGGAGCCGTGGTGCTGGGGACCGCTCTCTCCCACCGCAGAGCTCCTGGTCCGCATTGTGGAAGCAGGGACAGCCCCTTTCACTCCAGCACCCTCAGGCACTGATTTCTCAGCCACAGCCACAGACGGCCCCCCGCAGCCCAGGAAGTGGGGAACACTCATACTTCTCTGACCACAAAAATCGCTGAATGTTTTTGCGATTCTCATGGTCATAACCCAGTTACACAGTAGAGCAGTCCCATACCATTGCTAGACAATGGTCCTGGGAGAGCGTCTTGTGTGCCTCGGATGCTGGGGCCTGTTTTTATTGGGAGGTGCTTGTTATTTCTGTGTGTGGCTGCGTTTGACACAGCCTCTTCCTGTGTCTCTCCGGCCACAGGCCCCTCTCCTTTCTCTTATAAAGATACCAGTCATTGGGCTTGAAAATTGCTCAAAGAGTCTATTGTAAAGGTGCTTAGCACAAAAAAATGATAGCTGTGTGAAGTGATGGATATATTAATTAGTTTGATTTGATCACTCTGCTACGTGTATAGATGTCAAAACAAACATTGAACTCCATAAATTTATTTATTAAAAAAGATCCCAGTCGGCCGGGCGCGGTGGCTCACACCTGTAATCCCAGCACTTTGGGAGGCCAAGGCAGGTGGATCACAAGGTTGAGAGATCGAGACCATCCTGGTCAACATGGTGAAACCCCGTCTCTACTGAAAAATACAAAAATTAGCTGGGCGTGGTGGCGTGCGCCTGTAGCCCCAGCTACTCAGGAGGCTGAGGCAGGAGAATTGCTTGAACCCAGGAGGCGGAGGTTGTAGTGAGCCGAGATCATCCCACTGCACTCTAGCCTGGTGCCTGGTGACAGAACAAGACTCTGTCTCAAAAAAAAAAATAAAAAAATAAAAAGATCCCCATCATTGCATTTAGGACCCACTCTAAATCCAGGATGATTTTATTTCAAGATTTTTTACTAAATAGATTTGCAAAACCCCATTTCCAAATAAGCACATTCTGCAGTTCTGGGTAGACATGCCATGTGGGGACACTGTTCAAGCCACTGCAGCGCTGGTCTTGGGGAGGGGCTGATCAGCCCGGGGCAGGTGTGGCTGGGTGTGGAGCTACGTCAGAAGGTCCACTCATGCCCTGACCCGGAATCGAGACCTGCTTCCCCAGCTCTCCTGGTTGCCTGATGCAGGGAATGGAGAGCACTGCCCTCCCTGCCCAGGCGGTCTCTATCACTGGTTTCACTTCCACTTAGCACATGTTGCCCCAGGAAGATCTGGTTGGTTTATGGCTTACTTGAGTTTGTGTCTACCTGTCCCAGCCGGGAGGTGAGCCCTGGCTGTCCCCGGAACCAAGCCCTGTACATGGGAGCTGCCTCCCTGACCCTGTTCATCAGACGGGGCCGACAGTCCACAGCTGTCCATCGTCTCTACCAAGGTGACTCCTCACGTGGTGGGGAGGTGGCTGGGCCATCCGTGAGGAATGCAGATGTGACTGTTTTCCTTAAGGGGCACGTAGTCTCGGCTGCTTTTGCCCAATACAGCACAGGCTCATGACCTCAGTGGACTGTGGATTCAGGTCTGGATTCTGGTGCATTCGCTGTGTGAGAATGGGCACGTTGCTGGCCTCTCTGCGTCTGTGGAGTGTTCTGCCAATCGTCTCTCTGGGGGTGTAGGGAGGGCAGTGAGCCCCTTCGCATCACTCACCATGTGCCTAGCACACATGGCTGATCCCCACTGAGTGTTCCTTTCCTCCTTTGACCCCCTTCGGCTGACCTAGGTTGGAGTAGTCACTAAAATATGCCCGGAAACATCGTCCCATCCTCGCCTGCGCCAACCCTCATTCCCTGGGGCAGCATCGCCGTCCTGCACCCTCCGTTGCTCCAGAGCTGCCCGTGAGCTGCTCTCTAGCTCTCCTTCTCGTGCTCACATTCCAGGCCGCCTGGCCTGGATAAGTGGAGGTTTATTTGACCCCGAATATTAGCCTTCTAGCATGCAATAAAAAAACGAAAAGCAGAACGTAAGTAACAGTGTCCATTCCAGAGAACTCACTTAGTGCGGGTCTCAGTTAAGCAGGAATTACTGAAGGCCTGAGTTTAAGTTTCCAGGGCCTGAAAGTTTTCCACGATAGTTTTCTACGTAATATTAGCTACAATTTCAACCTGTTATTTAAACCCATTCTTGTGTTTGTGGTATGTTGATTAGCTTTATTTTAATTTGACGTCCTTTTACATTATGGACAGTTAACGCTTTGTCTCTGTTAAATTTGCTTTTCAGTTCACAGGAGAAACCCCATTCCTCTGTATTTGAATAGCTGCAATCATGGAGCAGCTGTCCCAGAGGGAAATGAAAACAGTGGTTTCCCGAATCGTCAAGTTAGAAATTTGCTCTTGGGTTACTTACAATGTATCTCAGTATTAAACAATTTTCTTTTTAAAAGTTTGAAGTAAAACTACCCAGAAACACTTAGTGGCTGACCAGAAACTAAACTCTTGGCACTGTCAAAGTGGGATTTATTGGCTTATAAATGTCCTGTGTTGATTCACAAAGGCACAAACTATCTTGGGACATTTTCTTCTAAATATTGATGGGAGAGGGGGCCGCTGTTACAGAAGTTTCGTTGTCTGGACTAAACTGCTAAACAGATTAGATAACATTATATCAACCAGACAAACGGGAAAAAAAAAAAAAAGAAAGGTGTCCTGGGAGGCATCCGGATGAGACCTGTAGACCATGAGAGACATTCCTTGCTATCCACAGGGAAAATGGGTTTTGTTCTCCACGTGCAAAATCATCTCAGGAGCTTGCGGAGACACTACCTACTTACTTACCAGCCAGAAAGAGCAGATGCCTCCTAAGTTCCCGACGCAGGAGCTCACAGTGGCTTTCATGCTCTGGGAGTAAGTGAGACTTAAGAAAGCCCGTCTACCCTTCCTGGGTACACAGACCAGCTAGTAGATCCCAGAATAAATCACACGGCACAATCATCCAAAGATCCCGTCATCTGTTTGGAAAGCCATGCTCCTGCACTAGCCTCTCCCCAGGGAGCCTCCCATGCCCAGGACTACAGGGTCGGGCCTTTCAGACTGCGACTCACCTCACATTCTTCCAGACTGTTTGGACAACAGCCTCTCATCACCTAATGCAGAGTACAGTCTCCCAGAACTGTGTGTTCAGGCCGACAGTGATACAGCTCTGTAGTACAGCAAACAGTGTCAGTTTACAGCCCTGAGCCCAAGTCTGGTGAACTATGCACAGCAGCGCTGGGGCGGGGCTCCCAGAAAGAAGCTGGCATACGAGTGGCACTCTCTGACTACAGCTCTGCCGGCACCAAACTCTACATAGTTCCATCTATGAGATAAAATTTAATACAGATAAATGTCAAAAAAAAAAAAAAAAAACTTCAGTGGCTCCTTTTGTCAGGTATATGGACTACTTAGTCTGGTCCAAGTTTATTGTAAAAAGCCCTAAGTGCCTTCACGGCTCACGCACTGACAAGAGGCCCCAGTACCTGTCAGCTGCCAGGAAGATGGGCTGAGTGGGCCTGGCTCTCCCATCCACACCAGGAGACGGGGAAGGACACCGCACAGTCCAAGCTGATCCCTAGGCGCCAGGTCATGAGAACCCCACTGAGAGCTCGTGCTGTGTGTGTGTCATACATAGCACACGCGTGGGACTGTGAGACAGTGAAATTGATGCTGGGTGGAGCGCTGCAGAGGAGCCGCCGTGGGTTGGTAGAGACAGGCCGTCATGGAGAAGAGACCCTGGCTTGCTCCACGTAGCTCCCGTTGCAGCCTCCAGGCAGCTCCCAGAGGTCTCCAACCTTCATCACACTCCCCTCACGGCTTTCCCATACTCGGATGAGGATCCCTGCGGGCAGAGCTCCAGGCACAGCCACCACCTACCGCTGCTGACTAACTGTGGCCCAGGGTGGTGACTCAGCCCCACACCTCCTGCTCCCATCAGCAGTGGGCCAGAGAGGATGACTTGCCCAGCACGTTCACATCACACAGCTCTGTGGGTTCCTAGGTCCAAGGACCAGCGATTTCAGTTACGTGTTATTTTTTTTTATTTGTTCTTGCATATT